ATATGTATAATAATTGATAAATTGGAAGATTTAAAAATTTGTGTTAAAAAAGTAGTGAAAAGACAAGACGAAAAACAAGAAAACGAAAGAAAAATTACAAAATAATACGGAAATTTCTAATGTCATTCGTTTCACGTCGGTGTCGAAATACAGACGAACGATACGGAGGTCTTTTGATGACTGCAAATAAAAAAAAATTCGCGTTGAATTAGCGTAGCCGAAAAATAAGAAAACGAGAAAAAAATTACAAAAAAATACGGAAAATTCTAATGTCATTCGTTTCATGTCGGTGTCGAAATACAAACGAACGATACAGAGGCCTTTTGATGACTGCAAATAAGAAAAAATTTGCGTTGAGTTAGCCGTCTGTGATTAGCAAAATGCTCTTTGAGCATGTTTATTCGGATCATAATGGCCGCGAACGTTTTCGACGGCATGTAAATATGACGGAAGCGCGACGGCGCTTCATCCAACTCAAAAAGCTGCCTCTTCCTCGCGACTGGGTATTCGCATACGCGACGTCATTACGCGCACCGACGGGAGATACATAATTCGGCGGACGGTGAATTCGCATATTATTTTCTTCCGCTCCGCGAAACGACAGCGTAAATTAGCGTCGAGCGTTGCGCGGCGTGCGCCGCGCTGCCGCGCCGGGTCACCGGTTATGCAAAATGCGGCAAACGGCCAGGATTAATTAATACCTTTTTTTTTTCCCTCTGCTACGCGCTCACACACTCGCGTAACGGGGTTGAAGTGGAGGGTACGTTCAGCCGCGGCAGAAAGAAACGAGACTTCGAGGGGGAGTGATAAAACGAGCGGAGCAGCAAAGAGGGATCTCTGTTTCTATGAACACCACACGTGCGCGTCCGTATGTATATATTTATCCGTGTGTACGTGTATGAGGGGCAGCTGTGCACGTCCACTAATTTAAATTGCCGTTTCGCTCTCAAGTATTCCTAGGAGTAATCAAGCTCCGGTCGGCCCAGACGAAAAGGACCGTCTATACGCGGCCACGCGCTCCCCGGGGCAGCCCTTCTAATTATTTTTCGTGAGTAGAAAATTATGCTCGGACGTCCGGGCTAACGCGCGTGGCGACACTCCCCGCCATCTCTCTTCTCCTCGCGTACCGCCCCTGCGTTTGTACGGATCTATGATACGAGTCGAGTGTGTTACGGTCGAGCGTGTGTGTGTGTGTGTGTGTGTGCACGGCGCAATACTACGGATTTCATTGCTAACATTTGCGGTCGCGTTGATAATTCGCCGCGCACCGCGGTGCTTCAGAATGTAACTCCGCAGCGCACCGTCTATACATTTAATGCACCTAAGGCTTTTGTGTGATGTACTGTATACGTACGTTTCATGCGGCAGAAAGTTTCTGCCGAATAGAAGGTATAATAGTTAAGGATAACTGCGTAGGCAAGTGCATATAATACCCCGGCGTTTCTTCAACAAATCCGTTTGTCTTGTATTCCTATCTTTCGTATAAACACCTTTACTTAGCTCATACTTATGATATATTAAACTCTTTCATACAATGGAGTGTTAAACGCGACCTAGATGCAACTCGGCTAACGCACCAATTCGCTGAAGCGTTTCACAGCATCGTAACATGATTTATAATTCACTAAATATTATTAAAGAGCAAGAATGTCACAACATTAATATGCATATGTGGGGAAACGGTTTAGAAGTTTTTTGCTACGAATAAAAATAATATGTAGAAGTTAAAATGTTATGATAACATTTAAAAATTTTTTACCCACAGCATTTTAGTGTAAATTTGCAATTTCTTCTAAATAACGTGATAACGTATTTCCATTTGTGCAGATAGCGACGAGAGATGAACGGAGAGAAATTCGAAATGTTCACACAATACAATGAATTTTCCGGCACATGTACCGACAATCATCCTTGAATCCCAAAATCAACCAATACCCGTTTACGACACATTTCTGTATCAATGTTCATGCGAGAGATATGTGAATTCCATCACGATCCTAATTGAGTCCCGATAATTTTGGCGCCCTGCCGTAAACGCAAATATATGGTTGATATCGCACGTACGCATTTACGCGTAGTATTCGGCCAAATCGCGATACAAGCTCAGAGCAAGGTGTTAACGTATCCTCTAATATCGCTTCTGTAATTCAACGGGGATTACAGCTGCCAAACTCGTACGCATGAAAGTATTAAATACAGATTAAACTTTCTCAATGTACATTAAAAACATATTACTTTGTTC